CTTTCCAGATAGTGTAGATTTGCACTTCAATGAGATTATTTAAATGCAGTCTTTCTAATCTTGTAAAACTTTTAGATATGTTTCAATTTTTTCTCAATTTTATCAAATAATATGTAAATCCCCATATATAATTATGTGATCAATATTACTGAGGTTAGGAACTAGTCCTGAAAGTCTAAGTACATAAAATATGGGAAAGAGCAAAACACTTTTAAGATACTGTGTTTATCTTTATGGGCATCAGTGAGAATGCTTGACTCCATTAGACTACACAGCATTTTACTGAAGGTCAATGTTGTTGTTGATAGGTGCCATCGAGTTGGTTCCAACTCACAGCAACCCTATGTACAACAGAATGAAACACTGCCTGGTCCAACACCATCCTCACAATCATTGTTATGTGTGAGCCCATTTTAGCAGCCACTGTGTTAATCCATCTTGTTGAGGGTCTTCTTTTTCATTGACCCTCGCTTTACCAAGCATGATGTCCTTCTCTAGGGACTGATCCCTTCTGATAACATGTCCAAAGTATCTGAGACATAATCTTGCTATTCTTGCTTCTAAGAAGCGTTGTTTGTACTTCTTCCAAGACAAATTTGTTCGTTCTTTTGGCAGTCCCTGATATAGTCAATATTCTTCACCAATATCACATTTCAAAGGTGTCAATTCTTCTTTGATCTTCCTTAGTCATTGTCCAGCTTTCGCGTGCATATGAGGCAATTGAAAACACTATGGCTTGGGTCAGGCACACCTTATTCTTCAAGGTGACATCTCTGCTTTTCAATACTTTAAAGAGGTCTTTTGCAGCAGGTCAATAGCAAACAATTATTGGTCTTGAAAGCATCCAACCCACTTCTTGGCTTGTAGTAGGTCTTAATAAATATTTGTTAATCGATAATATAATCATGCTGAGAAAAACAGTAGTGCCTGGATCAGTACATTTAAGAGATTATTTTCATTTTGGATAATTGCAATCAGTTTATTGCAGAAATGTGTACTTAGCATTTCACACCTCCAGAGTAGTGAGTACTTGAACTATTACCTAGCCTCCTTCAGTGATATCCATTGGTATCATCTGATTTTATAAAACCCAACCCCATTGCTGTCTAGTCAATTCCGACTCATAGTGACCCTATAGGACAGAGTAGAACTGCCCCATAGGGTTTCCAAGGCTGTAAATCTTTAAGGAAGCAGATTGCCACATCTTTCCGCTGCTGAGCAGCTGGTGGGTTTGAACCACCGGCCTTTTGGTTAGCAGCCAAGTACTTTAACCACTGTGCCACAAGGGCTCTATGGCTTAATAAAAGAGGGTTTTGTTTTCATACAGGGTAGTGGAAACATAAAATTAGTACAACTTTCTTGGAGAGCAATTTGTTATTTCTATTAAAAAATTTTTTTTAAAGTCTTTAAACAATTACACTTCTAGAACTTAGAGCTATACCTGTACAAGTACACAAAGCTGAATGGACAAGAGTATTTAAAGCAGCATTTCTTACAAACATGGAAAAACTGGAGACAACTTAAGTGAATATAGGAAAGGTTACAAGAATTATGATGCATCTAACTAATGGAACACTCTGCAGCCATTGAAAAGAATGAGGTAGTGTTCTACCTGCTACCATAGAAAAACCTCCAAGGAATAGTAAGCAGAAAGAGAAGGGTGATATAATAATTATTATTATTATAAAAACTTATAAAGTGTTTATTATGTTGTAAGCATTTTACATTAACTTTATTTATAATACAACCCTATGAAGTGAGTACTACTGTTATCCCCATTTTACAAAAGCAGAAACTGAAGGACAGTAATGTCACGTTACTTGCCCAAGGTTACAAAACGAGTCAGAGGCAGTGTCTGGCTTTAGGATCAGTGTTCTTACCCAGTTCTATTCCAGGTGTGTTAAAAAAAAAAAAAAAAAAAGTAAAAATACACATGGGTAGAAATAAATTAGTATGTGCACAAAAAATGGTTCTAAGCATAGCCTCCAAACTGTTACCAGCTGCTTTCTCTGGAGTGGTTTAGAGGAAGAGGAACATCAGAAAATACTTTTTACATGATACAAGATATTTTTTTTTTTTTGCTTGTTTGCTTTTGTTATGGAGGCTTTATTGCTTTTAAAACAATAAAATTTTATGTACAAAAGAAATGTCTCAAAACATAACATCCAGTTATTTTTCTTCTGCTGCTAGCAGCCAATGAAGAAACTTAGCCATTTTCATCCTTGTTATAGTTATATTATTTATTGTTTCATTCAACAAAAACATCTAAGTATGCTAGGTGTCCCTGCCTGTCCCTGTCCTTAAAAAGCTCACCATCTAGTGGAAGAGACTGACATATAAACATTAATTCCAAAGCCTCTATAAAGGGGATGTACAAAGATGGATTAGGAGGGACACAAAGGAGAGATGGCAATCTGTGGAACGCAGGGAGGGCACTGTGAAGGAAGGCAGGCTGCCTAGAGAGGAGGTAATGTTTTCCCTAAATACTGAAGAAAGAGTAAGAGCTCTTCAGGAAGACAGAGGAAGGGAGGGAGAGAAAAAGCATTCTAGATGGAGGGCATAACGGGAATAAAGACACAGAAGCATGAATCCAAATGGTTCTTGTCGGGGCTTGGTGACTGGGCGTAGAGTTAGCTGCAGCTCAGATATGATAGACAGGCGCCTTCGAGTTGACACAAGGGCAACAAAAACATTGCTCGGTCGTACATCATCCTCACGTCACCAGCATGTTCCAGTCCATCGTTGTAGCTATTGTGCCAACCCATCTGAGGTTCTCCTTTGCCCTTGCTGGCTTTCTACTTCACCAAGCATGATATCCTCTTCCAGTAATTGATCCTTCCTGATGACGTCTCCAAAACAAGTGAGTTGGATAATGTTCTGTTGTGATCCATAAGGTTTTCCTCGGCTAACTTTTGGAAGTAGACAACCAGGCCTTTCTTCCTACTCTGTCTCAGTCTGGAAGCTCTGCTGAAACCTGTCCACCATGACTAAGCCTGCTGAAATACTGGTGGCATAGCTTCCAGTATCACAGCAACATGCAAGCCACTATAGTAGGACAAACTGACAGAGCTGCAGCTTAGGGAGGGAAATGTGAAGAGTGACCCTGGAGATGTAAGCAGGAGCCACATCACCCAGGACTTTGTAGACCATGTTAAAAACTTCACCCTGTGTGCTAGTTTTTCCTAGGGCATGTTAGAACACAAGTGTTCTAACCCAAAAGACATAGATTAAGCATTTAGAGAAATAATTTAAAATTCTTTTTCTTTCTTGCTGTTAAAATTCTATATGATGCCATTTCTTTGCTTAAACTGACAATGATTTGTTTCTGCTATATAAAGTTGTTGTTGTTAGGTGCCATGGAGTTGGTTTTTACTCATAGGGACCCTACGTACAACAGAACCAAACACTGCCCAGCCCAATGCCATCCTCACATTTTTATGCTTGAGCCCATTGTTGAAACCACAGTGTCCATCCATCTTGTAGAGGGTAGGGTCTTCCTCGTTTTTGCTGACCCTCTATTTTACTAAGCATGATATCCTTTTCCAGGGACTGGTCCCACCTGATAACATGTCCAAAGTACGTTAGACAAAATCTCTCCATCCTTGCTTCTAATGAGCATTCTGGCTATACTTCTTCAAGACAGATTTGTTTGTTCTTCTGGCAGTCCATGGTATTATATAATACCATTATAAGTCTATGGTATTATATAATAATGGGTATTATTTAAGGAAAACTTGTTCTGTGGTATCTTAACATTCACAGCGATAAGGAGATCCATGCTCAGAGAGGTCAACTAATTGGCCCAAGAGCACACAACTAACCGGGGGCATTTCTAGAAATCTTAGAACTGAAACTCAAGTGTCTTTTAGACTCTACCACACCTTGCTCTTTCACCTATCCCACGCAGCTTCTTATCTTGCTATTGTTGATCCACATCTGAAACTTTTGAAGGGCTTCGACCCCCTACAAGAGAGACCAACAGAGCGTTCAAAATAAGTCCAGAGGCAACACACCGTGTTAACTACTCAGCCAGGCACCTGGTACCCGGTGGAGAGACTGTATTTTGTTGCGGCAGTTATCTGGAGAATACGGGCTCCCTGCTTCGGTGCAGCGCCCCCCTCCGCAGTACGCGCACCGCGGAGAGACCCAGCACGTGCACGCGCACAGGCGTGAGGCCGCAGCGTCGTGCCGTGGCTGTTCTTTGCAGCCCCGGAGCCCTGGTGCCTTGAGTGGTTCCTCCCGGGGTCTTCTACTCCTACGCCACGGACCCAGGGTTGCCGGTCGCCCTTCTCCAGGCCCTCTCCAACCCCTGCCTAGACCAAGTAGAAGCGCGGCCCCTACCCTCTGACCCCACGTTGCACAATGCCCGAGCCGAGCCTCCGGGGGTGTGAACCCCGGCGTCCCTGCCCCTGGGCGGGTACGGGCGGCGGCGGTGCGGGGAGCGGAGGCAGCAAGCGCGCAGCCGGCTCAGTCTACCCTCCCCCGGCGCCGCCAATCCCACGGGAGCCGCCGCAGCAGGCCCCGAGTCGCTAGGCCCCTCAGCCAGGCCCGCCCGCCGCTCCTCACAGGCCGCCGCCGCAGCCATGGCGGAAGTTCATAGACGTCAGCATGCTCGGGTTAAAGGAGAAGCCCCCGCGAAATCCTCCACACACAGAGATGAGGAGGAGCTGGGGATGGCGTCGGCCGAAACGCTGACTGTGTTCCTGAAGCTGCTGGCCGCCGGCTTTTACGGCGTGAGCTCCTTCTTCATCGTGGTGGTGAACAAGAGCGTGCTTACCAACTACAGGTAGGGCCGAGGCGGCCGAGGCCGCGGAGGAGGAGCGGGAGGCGGCGGCGGGGCGCTGGCTCCGTGGACTTTGGCTGCCAAAGTTGAAGATGAACAAAGTTGGGCGGGAGCTGGGGAGGGCGGGCAGTTGACGCGCGCGGCCGGGAGCGGTGGCCCGGGCCGGCCCGGAGCGGTGGCCGGGGGCGGCCCGGGCGGCGGAGCTGGATTGGGGCGAGGGTCCGGCTCCCTCCGCGGAGCTCGGGCCGGACGCGTTCCGGCAGCCCCTGCGGTGCCCGTCTTGCAGCGCCTCTAAAACCCAGCCGTTCGGAGTGATGGAGCAAAGTTGCTTCGTGACTTTTTGGTCCCTATGCATGCAAGACGGGGAGGAGAACGAGGGATGCCCTCCGTCCTCTTAGATCGGGGTCTGGGACTTCTTAGATCGGCGTCTGGGACTTCTTAGATCGGGGTCTGGGACTTCAGTGGTTCCCCGCGTTCGCTGACAGCCTTGGGGATGTGCGCATCCTCACGCCCATTTACAGTTATTAGGTTGCTGTCACTGGGACTCTAAGACAAAAGTATTTTTTTAAGTGTGAAACCCTTGAGGAGATCTGTATCTTAACTTCTTGAAAAATCTGTTGCCTGCAGTCGACTGAAATTGTAAAATCAGACAAGATGAGACAAGTGGCTGCCCACGGCTACAAAATCAGCGGGGTTGCCCGCCAATCGGCAAGAATTTTTCTCACAAGATTTTCTTTCATTTGGATAAACTGCAACGTTAGTGTGAATGGTATCAAAAATACATTTAAGGTTGCCAATTCGCAAAGTGAATTCACAGGACTACGTTTGGGTTTGCTGACTCTGTGCTCTTTTTTTCTTTCCCGTTTTTGTAGATTTCCCTCCTCACTATGTGTTGGACTTGGCCAGGTTGGTTGGACTCTTCAGCATTACGTGGTTTATGTTGTTGGAACTTGTGTGTGTGTCTTTGTATGTGGAACAGTGAATCTGTGTTCTTTATTTACAGATGGTGGCCACGGTGGCAGTTCTGTCGGTGGGAAAGGCGCTCAGAGTAGTCAAGTTTCCTGACTTTGACAGAAATGTACCTCAAAAGGTAAAATAAATAAATAAATTTACAGTCACACTTTATATTGTAAAAATAAATTATTATATGTATTTTTTTATCAGTTCTTTGCATACTTAAAAATTGCAGCCTTGAAATCGCCCAATCAAGAGTGGGTGTAATGGAGGTAAAAAATAATACATTTTAAAGAAGTCCCACACTCTTTAAAATTAAGAATAAAATAAACGAGGACGCTTGTGCTTTGTTTTCAGTTAATGCACACTTGTTGGGAGTACAACAGTTTTACAGTTTCTACTTTAATCTAGCCAGTGTATCCTGGATTTATTATTCTTTGGGTTTATTTTCATATTTTTCCGCCTGCCTCTGCTTGATTCCACATGAAGATGAAATGCCTTTCCTTTTTCTGCTGACATTAGAAGCATGGGCTAATGCAGTATCATATATTAAAGCAGGGCTTTGTACTGGTTTCTTCTGGTTCGAATCCCTGCTGACAATTTGCATTTCTAACAAGTTCCAAGGTGATGCTAATGCTGCTGGTTAGGGACCAATTCTGAGAACCACTAGTAGAGCAGTGGTTCTCAAAATTTATGTATAAGAATCACCTAGGGTTTTTGTTAAAATGTAGATTCTGATTCAGTTTATCTGGGATGGAAATGCAAATTCTCTGCAGAGGTTCGAACTGGTTCAAAGCCCGGTTTTAAAGCAAATGATGTTTCTGTCCCACATGATTTGATCATCTTCATATTTCTGTTTCTTTTCGCCCTTCCCTTCCTCCAGCTCTCTTTCTGTTGTAGTAAAGCTGTTTATCCAAGAAGAGTTCATGTTGTTTGGATGCTTCATGGGGGCCAAAATTGTGTATGAAAGTGAATCATTGTGTTAAGTGGAAGGAATTTGATTGTATAAACAAAACTGTTTGTTTGAAAGGACCTTGTTTTAGCTGTCTTTATTACTGAGTTTTGTTATCCCTTTTTAAATTTTTCTAGACGTTTCCACTACCTCTACTATATTTTGGGAACCAAATCACGGGACTGTTCAGCACAAAGAAACTGAAGTATGGATAACTTTATTTTACTAGTGAGGTGTTAATGTATTCTTAAAACTGTATTTGAATGTAAAATAATTAACATATTTTTATCGATTCTGAATTAAATGAAAGGACCTGGGAGGCTTTTATTACTAAAGAATGAAGAGGGCACCAAGGGTTTTAGTTTAAACTCTTTAAGTATAAGGAGAATGAGGAGTTTTGTTTGTCTTGGGTTTTTTTTTCTCCCGCTTTGCTGATAAGATAAAATCCTGCCTTGGTTGGTCTTAAAATGCTATAAAACAATGTAATAGGAGATTTGTGTTGTTTTCCAGATGTTTTGTAATGAAGGATATAGGCTATGCTTCCAGGATTTCAATTCTTTAATACAATTCATAAATATTATATTTTAGGTAAATTCTACACAGCAAAATCAGAGGGTAGGCATGAGAACTTTTGCAGTTTTTCCTTTTAACATGAAGTAGTTAAAGTCATCTGGAACCCTGATATGAATATGATTAATATCTTTATACGTGGCAGTACAACTATGTTGTTGTTTGCTGCGTTCAAGTCGATTACGACTCATGGCTACTCCATGTGTGCAGAGTAGACTGCTCTATAGTATTTTCAAGACTGTGACCTTTCAGAAGCAGATGGCCAGGCCTGTCTTCTGAGGTGCCTCTAGGTGGGTTAGAACTGCCAGTCTTTAGGTAGTAGTTGAGCGCTTACCAGTTTGTGCCACCCAGGGACTCCAGTGTAACTATGTTGTTTTGTTGTTGTTTGGCGGTGTGGAGTCGATTCTGACTTATCACGACCCCATGTGACAGAGAAGAACTGCCCCGTAAGGTTTTCTTGGCTGTAGTCTTTGTGGAAGCAGATTGCTGGGTCTCGGAGGGCTTGAATCACTAACCTTTTGGTTAGCAGCGGAGTGCTTAACCTTTGCACCATGACAACACTGTCTTATTACCCTAAACCAAAAAAAACCAAACCCATTGCCGTCGAGTTGATTCTGACTCATAGCGACCCTATAGGACAGAGTAGAACTGCCCCGTAGAGTTTCCAAGGAGTGCCTGGTGGATTCAAACTGCCAGCATTTTGGTTAGCAGTCATGCCACCAGGGTTTCCTTTATTACCCTACAACCTCCCAATTCCTGTTCTCCACTTAAGGAATGTACTGTGTATTGGGTGGGCGTGCTATTGAAACTTCACATATAAGGAAACCATTTGCAAGAATCCTTTGGCTCCATCACTTCCACAAAAGCTAATGCCCTGGCATACTGGATAATTACAAAACAGTGTGGAGATCTCTGAGGATCTCTGGGGATCATTTCCTCTTCCTTCAGACCCAGTAAACCTGACAGAATGACCAAGATGATATCTCCTGGGAGAGAAGTGTTTTAAGAAAGTCAAATTTATCATGAGTGGGTCATCGTCTTCCATCTCATTACCCTTTTGGAAAGAAATGCAAGCTGCTGCAAAGTGCAGCTTGTGTAGAATTTGCTCTTTTTCATGCATTGTCATCCATCCATCCATCCATCCGTACATTCAATCGTTCAAACCCTGTCTTTGCCACTTCAAGACTGTGACTTTGAACTGTACAAGGATCTTCCTGTTCTCTGGGAGAGATAAGGTATATTCAGAAATTACGTATTGCAAGCATCTGTATGTTTGATTATTACAAGAAAAACACAGTAGGAATTTAGAGGAAGACAAAATTACTTCTACAAAAGGAAAACCAAGGAATGTTTCAAGGGGTAATATTTTTGTAGATGTTGTTTAGGAGTTTGGGAAGGGAGATCAGTCCAGTGGGGAAAGGAGGAAGAGAATTTTTTCTGTTAAAGACTAACATGCTCACAGTTCCAGGGTATTTGCATAATTAGCCAGATAAATTAAAAAATGGGTATTATCAGTCTGTGGTGATACATGTGTAATCTCTACCATTTTATAGTTTGATTTTTCTCACTTGTAGTTTTATAAAAGCAATCTTTTTAGGCTTTCAGATAGGAATTATGTCTAGACAGATGCAAGTTTAATTACAGTTTAATCAGCGTGGAATTTCCATTATAGAAGGAAGGAATTAGCATTATTTTAAAATGCAAATTTGGAGAAACTTAGTTTAAAAAAATAGTTAAACTTTATTTTACCTAATTATCTTTTCTTTGCAGCTTGCCAATGTTTACAGTTCTGAGAAGGTTCTCTATCCTGTTTACAATGTTTGCTGAAGGAGTTTTACTCAAGTGAGTTACATTTCTAATACATCTAGTCTTTAAATGACTTTAATCACTTTGAAAATGTGCCCAGCATGTATTGGATACTGAAATTATTTGTCTTATTTCTACTTCAGTTTTTGAGAAGGTTAAGCACCGTTCTCCTTTGCTGTAGAAATTGATACGTGGGAGCAGTAGTTGGGAAGACCGTGAATTGGAGCTTGGAAATCTATCTGAACATTGATGTATTTTCTAGAATTCCTATACCTACTGCTGCCATTGGGTGAAGCCAGGTCAAAATTATAGGTGTAGGTTTTACATAGTGTTTATATCTTGGCTTATTTTACTGCAGATGTGTGTGTTCTTTTCCAACTTAAAGAAATTGTGATTTATAAAAATTCAAACTAACTTACAATAATTGTAAGAATAATAAGTGTGGATATAGTTATATAAACAAAATGAGCTTTTGCTTCATCAGAGGGGTTCTTTTAAATATCTAGTTCCTTGGAAGCATTTAAAATATTGCTTATACCTTTTTTAAGGAAGTATCACTTATATATTTTGAGTATTTTTGGGTAATTTAAAAAAAATTTTTTATTTTGTTGTTGTTTATCACTTATATTTTATTGTCTATGTTGTAAAATGAGTGTCTGGGTAACCAAATCCATATATGTATGTTATATATATGTGTGTGTGTGTGTGTGTGTGTGTGTGTGTGTACATATGTATATTTAATTATTTTATAGGAAGACTTTTTCTTGGGGCATCAAGATGACTGTATTTGCAATGATTATTGGCGCCTTTGTAGCTGCCAGGTAAGGTGTTGTCCCATATAAAACCTATGATAGTACATTTGAAATTATCAGTAATTATTGATAATATGTTATCAGTCAATAAAAAATTATTTATAGCCTAAGTAAAACCATATCTTTGAAAAGCATCCAGAGGCTTTTGGAAAGGTTATATCTTTTTGAGTATATTAAGATCAGGCTGGCACAATTCAGATTTTTGGGATTCTTAAAAGCTAAATGCATGGAATTTAGGATTTGTTACTATCCTCTACTTATTGAGAACTTACCATGTGCCACATTATGTTCAGCATTTGATACACACTCTTTGTGTATATTTTTCACAGTAACTCTTAAGTATGATTTTCCTATTTTGTAGTTGAGAAAACTAAAGCTTAAGTTCAAAAACTTGCTCAGGGTCCCATAGCTAACAAATAGCAGAGCTAGAATTTGAATCTACACCTTATTCCGGTGGTAATAAGCCTAGGTGCTTTTATAAACACTGCAGTGCTCTTTTAGTTTGTCTGCTGCTAAAGGAAATAATTTCTGCTTTTCTGTGAGGTGAGGCAAATGACAATGAGTCATTTGCCATGTGGATTATTCAATGGTAACATTGCTTTATTTGGCCTCACTTAAAATATATCACAAATGCCCTAACTTTATTCTGCTAGAATACTAAATATTACATTACTAAAGCTTTTTCCATTTTTCTTAAGTTTTAGTTTTAAAATGTATGGGAAAATGTATACCCAATGACTCAAAATTAAAATGATTGCCGAAAACCTTCTATCTACAACATCTTACTCAGTCCAGGGCATGCATATATGAATTATGCTTGACATGTATTTTCCATCTGGGAGTTCCAGTATGCTTCTTGGATTGAATCATTTACCTTTATCACATCCCTGTGGTATTGTTGCCATTGAGTTGATTCTGAATCATAGTGACCCTATAGGACAGAGTAGAACTGCCCCTTAGGGTTTCCATGGAGCATCTGGTGGATTTGAACTGCTGAGCTTTTAGTTAGCAGCAGAGCTCTTAACCACTGCACCACCAGGGCTTTCCCTGTGGTACAGGCGACAGGAAATATCTTAAGTCAAATTCTTTTCAACCCTAAATCTCCAAGTGAGATTTTATCCTAAATAAAAGAGAATGGCATAATTGGATATTAGAATTTACTTATATAACTGTAAATTGTATACGTTTTATTGTCTCTTTGGGGAGAAATTTTATACTAGCCTCATACTTTTCTTTCTAGAGGTGCCCTACCAGTCTTTGAAACATTTGCTTGAAGCTGATGAGGTCTAAAATTGAACCAAACAGGGACTCCTCAGGGCTTACTCTGGCTTGCAAAAAGTTTCTGAGGAGGAGAGCTATTTGCACCAGCTTCATCTGTTTAGAACCTTTTACTTGGGAAAAAGATTGGGAGGAATCTGAAGTTAGTCAGAGCATTGTCAGGTAATGGTTGCTTGGGGAGGGAGGTGTGCATTAGACTCCTGTTACTGTTGCCTTCAAGTTCCATTCTGACTCATAGTGACCCTATAGAACAGAGTAGAACTGCCTCATAAGGTTTCTGAGGCTCTAATCTTTACGGAAACAGACTGCCACATCTTTCTCCCAAAGGGCAGCTGGTGGGTTTGAACAGCTGACCTTCCACTTAGCAGTCAAGCGCTTAACCACTGGACCACCAGGGCTCCTTGTACGTTAGGCTGGTCCTGCCAAAAGCTGCAGTGGCATAGACTTCTCAGAAGTCTAGGTTCCATCTAGTTTAGTTACAGGTGTATAGTATCTCTTCAGAATTACACACTGTGGGGCCACTATTTTAGCTAGAGTGCTAGCGCATGCTGGAGGCATACTGTTTTTTAGGATTTCATTTATTCTGATAAACTTACTGTGCTCTATTCTTGTTCCTGGTGTCTACTAGCTACCAGAAATTTCCTGTTTTCCCCAAATCCACTAGTTACACCTCATAAATTATTGAGCAGTTATTTAAGTATTTGTGTTCCTACTGTGTACTTAGACATTGTTCTAGTTTGATGTCAGAGCTGACCATGGTCCACCCTTTGGAAATTCTACTCAGTGAGCCGACCACCCCTGCAAGATAGTGGAACCATTTGTGTGAATCTTTGGAAAATGACATGTTAACAACTTCATCCTTGTCTGTGAAATTGAGATCTGATGCTTTCTGCCTACTTCACAGATGTACTGTAATTGTAAATTTGGTTGCTTGTTTTGTGTTTGAATTCAGAGCAGTATGCTGTTAACTGAATTGATTGATTATTGCTAATGATGTGTTTAACTTTTAGTCCTTATTTCTGAAGAATCCTTTATTGTATGAAATTGCAAACTGAACAGGAATCAAGAAATATAGTAGCTGATAAAATGCCTGATATTCACTTTCCTAGATAAGAATGTGTTCTTGTAAATATTATGCTTTGGACATATTTAAAATTAAATGCGTGTTCTTTAAATGTAAGTTGTTATTAAAGTGTTGCTCATGTTTTACAGCTCCGACTTGGCATTTGATCTGGAAGGATATGTTTTTATCCTGATAAATGATGTCTTGACAGCAGCAAATGGTGCATACGTAAAACAAAAATTAGATTCAAAAGTAGGTAGTAGTCCAAAGCTTCTCTAACAGATGTTTACTGATGTTGGGAATAGTAATGTCTGTTCATCAGGGAAAAAGCTGGGAATAAAGAAAAATGCTTAGGAGGAGTGGGAAAGACATGGGGTCTCTCTGAGGGTAAAAATACCTATAGTTTGGTGCTCATGTAAGGAACTTTATTTTTTAATTAATTAGTAATTAGATTTTATTGCTGACTTTTCTGGAAGGGACTGGGTGAATATTGCTCAGAGAGGGCCAGCAAATATAAGAGGTGTTCATTGGAGAATTGGGTGAGGAAGAGCAATATGTGGAAGCCCTGGGACAGACTTGAGGGGAAATGTTGGAGGGGGCTGCAAAACAAGGATGGCCTTTGTGTATCTGTGCTACAGATAATGGGAAACATTAAGTAGCATCAGGATCTCTTTGTCAGGAGCAACACTGGGCTCCCTGGCCTAGATCTCATACACATGAACTTTGTATACCCAGCTCTTTACCCTCAACTGGCAGCATGTACACAAAGGCTTTACAAGGTATTTTTTGTTTGTTTACTGTATACTTTGAATATGTTGTTGTTGTGTGCCGTTGAGTTGAAATTTTATTTTTAGATCAATCCAGACTTTCAGAAAGCTGAATATTTGAGCCACATTGCATTTACTATATTTTATTATGAGATTATATGACTGTAAGAGACGACTATATGAAACTCAGCTTTATGTAGCCATTGAGTTGTTATTGAAGACTTTGTCCTTTACATTATAATGTACCCTATGTGAGGACCCACATGAGATATGAATCTTAGATGTCACCATAGTTTTTCCTGAGCAGTTGGTGTATTTTTATCTCACAGTTAAATCTTTTAACAGACCGTAGTGTTATCTTACTTTCCTGCCCGTATTTTCTTTTCAGTCAGATGATCTAATCAGCTTGTTTTTTTTTAGTCTGCTCTGTTATATGTACAGTATTTCTGAAACTACTTCAGGTCCTTTTTTGGTGCTCAGACTCATAAATAAATACAAAGGCCCTACCTACTTGATAGCAGCATTAGTTAATATCCAGTTGTGTGGTATTTGTGTGGGACAGTCTTGGGTAAGGGCTTTGCCTTGTCCTCCAAAAAAGAATCATGGATTTCCTGGCCCTCCCAATAGCTTTTAAAATCCTCAGAGAATGTCTTTTTGAATATCCTTTAAGAACTAGGGACAGCGTAGATCTGTTTCAAACAAATTTTCTTTAAATATACCTTTTATGTCTTCCATCTATTTTCCCTGATGGCTGTGTATGATTATTGCATTTTAATGGAAGTATTTTACTTCCAGAAGAGCCCTTTAATTCTTCACTCAGAAATGACTTCCAGCTTATTTGTACTAGTTAGAATTGTTAAGCTTATGAGCTGCTTTTCCTAGTCCATGGTTTAGAAGCAGCAACTAGAAGGTAGAATTCTACTTAGATGCAGAGAGGCTTACCAGCAGTAAAAAAGGAGAGGTAACAAGAGAAACAGGAAAACTATAAAAGACAGAAGTACTTACAAAAATTATGCAGAGGCTGTTAAATAGCAGTAAGGGCGGCACTGTGTTAGAACACAATACAGCAATGCATGTTGATGATGATGCTCCTAAAATCAAATTGTACTTTGAGAACTCTGTTTAAGAAGGCCTAGAGAAAGATATTCAAAACAGTTAAAATGTAAGGAGAAAAAACAAAAAACTTTGGTGTTTAAACTTTTGCATTTGTGAGTTATCCGGACGTGTTGTACATGTGTATGCATGTATCTTCTGCTTCCTGGATGACTTGCACTAACCCTTTTGCTTCTGCCAGATGAGCACCTGTTGTTAGAGGTTGTGTCCTACTATGGCTTTTCCTGATTCAAATGTATTGCTGTCTCAGAAATAAGGCACATCTTTTCATCGATTCTTGTGGTCACCATAAGCAGTCAGTTATTTGATTTATCCTGGAGGCAGTATGGCCACACTGAGATGCTTTTAATAAATAAGGAGTTTTACTGCCTGTAATTTTGGAAGTCCTTGTCATCTTGGTCCTTTGAGGATGAGTCGTGGCATAAAGACTTAGTCACTGTATTTCAGACCTGATGCAGCTGTTGAATTTAAAACATTTTTAGCTTATCTTTAAAAAAAAACCACACAAGTAATACAAATTTATGACAGAAGTAGAAAACATAGATAAGAAAAAAGAAGAAAATAAAACCTTCCCTTTACCCTACCATCAATGAGAAGCACTGTTTAGGTGGATATGCTTTTTTGTAGGTTTGAGTGCCTGTGTGTGTACACACACACAATATCTAAAATTTTAAAGAGGAATGATATATTTTCTAAGCTCTATTTTTCACTCAGTACTGTTTCATGAATAGCTTTCCATGTCTGTCAGCATTATTAAACATTTTTAGTGGCTGTGTGATTTTTTTTTTTTTTTTTTTGTATGGCTGCTCATAGTTTAATCAGCTAGTTTTTCTGTTGTTGGCTATTTGTTTCCAGTATTTCAAAGCTCCTTTTGAGAAGGTAGTTTGACCTTTTTATTACCATCAGTGATCTTTTAAGTCACAGAAGTTAGGTAGACATTATACCCCTATTCTCACCACTCTCCACCCCATGCCCCCACCCCCATTTTCCATTGCCTGTTTTCTGTTGGATGTCCTGGAAGTGTGTGAATCAAGGTAGGCCCTGATTTCCCATAGGCTCCCTGTGTTTGCGAAGATGTTGTTGTCCTTCATTGCTCCCCAGTAGCTGGGGGAACAGGTAATCATAGTGTGTTTTGGGAGATTAGCTGTAGTAATCTAAATCTCCATTGTATCTCACATACACATTTTCAGAAATACTTCACTGGGAAGTTATGCCTATCTTTGTTGGTCTAGGTTTGAGTCTGTGTGTCTGAATCTGTCCATCCATCTTTCTTAAATGGCACTCTTATCGTTCTGCAAAAACCAAGGCTAATTTGATGACTCTGGATTCAGTTCTGGAAAGAGAAGGGCTTCGGGGATGTATACCTATAAATAAGTGCATATGTGTTTAAAATAATTTCTTCCCTAGTTGCTGTTTTGAGGAAGCCAGTTGATGTCATTTTTATTTCTCTGATCTTAAGCACTTGAATTTGTCTCAGATAAGTTTAAAATCTTTTTTTAAGGTTACTCTCTTTTCCTTTTTGTCTTCTGAAAACTTAGATTATTTATTAATGTTTTCAAAACTTTTGGTGATTTTCTGTGTGTGTTCCGAGGAAGGGGTGTGTGTGTGTTGAGGGTGGTATAGGGTTGTGTATTGAATATACTGTGGACTGCCATAAGAATGGGCAAATCTGTCTTGGAAGAAGTACAGCCGGAATGCTCCTTGGAAGCGAGGATGGTGGACTTTGTCTCACATACTTTGGACATGTTATCAGGAGGGATCAGTCCCTGGAGAAGGACATCATGCTTGGTAAAGTAGAGGGTCAGC